ACGCGTGGCATGGTAGATGCTCCTAGGGCAAAGATTTTGCTCACCCTTCTCAGACTAGACTTTGGCTGGTACTAGATTGGACCAAGGTTGGGCTACTGGTCCTCTGGAGTCATTAGACTTTACCCTTTCTGCTGTCTTGGGCTAATCAGAAGCACTTCATTGAGGCTAATGAGCCCTGCCTTTGGGTTCTCAGGGTGTTATTGGGCTTCGAGGCCATGGAGGCCCATGTCCAAAATTTCATCCTTATCGCTTTCAATTGTATCGTGTCATATCTAACTTTAGACAAAAAATAGTTATTTAACAAGTATGGTAGGTAAAAATTATGTATTTTATAATTTTAATTTTTTTAAATAGTATTATAGAAATTGTTATAAATGTAAAATATAAAACACAATGCAACTGACTCAATAAGAAAAAATTTTGTGTTAAAAATATTTTTTTATTGACTCAAACATGATACAAAATGACACGACACGAAACAAAAGTGTGATGATACATCACAATTGAAAGATATTTAATGAGTGTTAATCAATGAAATTTTTTTTGGATCATAAATGTGGAATATTTAAATTTTGAAGATGTAATTTGTAATTAGCCCAAACATTTTTAATGGCAAAATATATATTGTTACAAATTTATATTTTTTAAGATATAAATTAATATTTTTAAACTTTTATGGTATAAATTAAAATTTGAATCATCTTTAAAAGGTACAATTTGAGATTAGCGCAAGAATTTATCGAGGATAATCAATGAGTTTCAAAGTAGCATTACTCGTTAAAAAAAACACAGCCACCCAATTGGGTTCCCTGATACCTTTCTGTCATCAATCATCATTATACATATGCGTGGAATTTTCGCTTTTTTTTTTTTTTTTTGAAAATTAGAAGTGAGAGCTCCTAAATATATTTGTTTGGAAATAAGTCCTGCAAAGAAACTTATAAGGGAGTAAGTTCATGTTTAAAATTATATGTAATGACTTAAGTTTATTTTTTTTCTATCTCAAAAATATCATTCCTTAAAAAGAAATTAATCTTTTCTCTCTCATATCTATCTATATCCACATATATATATATATATATATATATATATATATATATATATATATATATATATATATATATATATATATATATATATATATAGCTAATAAAATATACAATAAGGGTAAAAAAAATAAAAAAGAAAAATTATAACGAATCCTAATAAACTAACCTATAATATCTCCAACAAAAGGTCCTTAAATAAACAAGTCAAGCCCGGTCAATAACTTGCTCAGATCGTCGAGGCTGGTGAACATAAATAAAAAAACCATAAAAAAGTCTCATGTTCGGCTTGTGGAGCATAAGAAAGTCTCTGCTCGTGTTTATCTCGTCTAGCCTGGTGTTAGACTTTTGAATATAAACATAAACAACCGTAGGCTCGTGTCCGCCTTTGCTAGGCTCCTTAATATTTATATACTAAAATAAAAGTGTATTTAAATTTTATTTCAGTCATATTTTTCTTTTTAAAATCATCACCAATCACTTTTCTCACCTATCATTCCTTTGTCAAATTCAAACGTCAAATCATATTACTCATTTCTATCATATATTTAATCATTTATACATTTCTTTCCTAAAAATATCACACCACTTATTTCTATCATATATTTAATTATTTAATATTTAATTAATTTGTAGTTAATATATTTTAAAAAATTTTAATATAGTGAGATCAATTTTTTAGACGCTCAAATTTTATATTTTATTATGCTTTCAGGTGTTTTCAAGCACGAGTTATGACTAGTATAATAATATTGTGCATATATCATATAGTAGATAGTATACGCAAACAAACAAGTCAAGTTTAATTTTGAAAACAAATTCAAACGTAATTAAACAAGTCAAGCCCGAGTTTGAGAAAAAATTTTACGAGCTAAGCTTCAACAAAGTGTTTAAAGCTCATCATGATCCCATGTGTTGTGATCGTGCAACAATTATGGTGAATAGTAAAGAATCAAACAATTAAGAAAGCAGGAGAAAATAACACATAGAGATTTACGTGGTTCGGCAATGTGTCTACATCCACGAGAGCGAGCGGCTGTTCTTTTCCTTATTGAAGTAGGGTTACATCTTAAGTATTTATATAACCCTAATATAGACGTATTTACAAAAATACCCCTGTACCGTACCGCGGGGGCGTTGCCCTCGCACCCCCAACTTATCAGCGTCCCCTATATATAAATCCCGCAAGGCAGATGCCGTCGCGGGCTCCGCTCCGCTACGCTCCGGCATCTGCCTCCTTGCCATTATGCACATAGCAAAATATGAGCCACACATACTCTAACAATCTCCACCTTGGCAAATATTCACCCCTTAGAAGAAAAAAAAGAGGACATGTTTCGGAAACTCCACCGGGGACGCTGAGTTGAGGCATCTCCCATCTAGCAACTAGAGACATTAATCAAGTCCAAGCAGTGCTTGAACTTGTCTGTAGTAACAGACTTTGTCAACATGTCTGCAGCATTCTCAGAAGTGTGAACTTTCTCAAGTAATAGTTCACCAGAAGAAACCAGTTCCCTGATCTTATGAAACCTCACATCTATATGTTTGGTCCTCGCATGATACACCTGGTTCTTTGCCAAATAAATGGCACTCTGACTGTCACAATGCAATTGAACTCCACCTTGCTGGGCACCCAGCTCCTTGACTAAACCTGTAAGCCACAAAGCCTCTTTGGCAGCCTCAGCTACTGCCATATACTCTGACTCAGTAGTAGATAGTGCAATTATAGG